TATAAACTACACCATTCTTCTTAATCACAGCAATAACAGTATTCTCGCTCCACGAAGCTAAAGCAACATTGCTTACAATCGTCAAAAGCTGCATAGATTAATGCATAAACTTTTACATGAGAACTATATATCCACTGTGGACGTAAATAAATAAGAAAACAATAAGATAAAACTAGTGAAATTAAACATAAACTAAGTGATGTTTGATGTATTACGAATTCCAGATTTTTGGTCTCCATTAGAATCCACAACGACAGGAAGGCGAGGTGAACCACAGAGAACAACTTCAGATGATACTGCCACCAGAAGTACGAGCACTAGATTAACAGCAACCTTCATCTCTTCTGTATATTCTAACTGAAAGATGAAATAAGAAAGACCACAAGAGAAGAAAGAAATAATAAGATGAACAAGTTATATGCTCCAATACACAGTATATATAGGATTTCAATGGGACTTTAATTAATGCTTTAGCCAAGGTAAGATGGGCATTCTCCTTTTCAAGAAAAAGAAAAATAAAAGAAAAGTAATACATAGCTACCAATGCTTGGAGAACTCATGTTTACCGGGCGTCTTCAATCATCAAGCTTTTTCATTCAGAAATTCACCATCTGGACCTATTTTCTTTCAATCTTCAAAAGAAATTATTCTTTTATTGACAAATAATTAGTTTTTTATTGTTGGGATGCACATGTGAGCAAGTGTCTGGAATCAGGACTGAATGAGAATCCTTGGAAAGTTAGAAGAAGTACAAGGGATTTATATACAAAAGTGGTCCGTAACGATACAATAATTTAGGCTTTTGGGTTATAAATGTTATCCATCTCTTGTGTAAAATCTTAGATGCGTGTAAATATACAAAGCCCCGATTTGATCACTCATAATTCGTGACTCCCTCCAAGGCCCAACATTGTTTAGTTCAGTTATTTTCTTTTTAAACTAGTTGAATAATCTGCGAACACAGTGATAAATGCAGTATTTTGATGCTCAGTACTGGTCCGTATTTGTCATTATTTTGATCGATGGAGTGTAGTTAAATATAAGTAACTGATGTAAAACTCCATTTGTGTTGAGTTTTACATCGACAATCAATATAAGTACAACTTTGCTAAAACCAATATAAATATGTACATCGATAATCATACTTCCCATTTTACGACGATACATAACTTTAAATGGATCGATGTACTTCTAGAGTTCGCATCTCTTCCCCACCATCTATTGCCTCAAAATCACCTACACAACGTGCAATTGTCACATGTCCAGTCGTATGTGGTGGGGCGTTCCGTGTGCGGGCTAATGGGAGAATCGTTAATTCATCCCGTTAACTTCAAAACGATCCCAAAAAAGCAAAAATTGAGTCCCATTTTCCCGCTCCCTCAACCTCAAGTCTCTGACTCCGTTTTAGCTTGAACTTGGATTCAACACCATCTTCAGCACCAGCGATCGCCCGAATCCAACACCATCTTCAAAGTTCAATTCAACCCTCGCCTCTGGTTTGCTTCTGGTCCTGTCCATCTAAAAACCAGTATATAGAGGAGCTGTCGAGAAAAGAATCAAAAGAGGAGAGAAGACTGATCGGTAATGAAGAAGCTCTACAAAAAAGGCGAAGTTCACCCATCGCCTCCGATTGTCTCTGACCACCTCGCTTTCCTTCCTGCGACGATTCTGACGCTCATCGGGGAGAGGACATTGGTGGAGATAAAGAAGTGGAGGAGATGGAGAAGGGTTCCATGAGGAGGTTTGTGAGTTTCATCGGGAGAGGATCTGGGTGTTTGGGGCTAATAAAACAAAGAAAATAAAAAAAAAGGGGGTTACTCAGTTCAATCCTCTGTTCAAGGAGTTTTTTTGTTTTTTTTTTTGCTCTGTAGTTTTTCCCTTTTCTTCCGCAACTATTTTTGCAAAGTAAAAATTAAAAAGAGAATGAGTAATTTTTTCATTATTCTGAAGCTCCATTTCTTCTATTCATAATCTGTGCTTCTCTATGCATTTCTTCCTTCCTATGGGTCGGGGTGTCAATGGTATTTGAAAATCCAATTTCGAATTTGAAATTTGACATAATCGAATTGAATTCAAATAATTTGAATATCTAATCGATCAAATTCGGATATCCTATTTATACCGAATAGTTAAACGGATTCAAATTCGGATATGACCTATTCAATTTGATAAATATCCGAATTCGATCGATTATTTAATTCTTATATATAATATATAAAATTTTTAAATGTTTTAAAATGTATATATTTAATAATTAAATTATATAAATAATTTATATATTTATATACTTTATATAAATAAAATATTTATTTTAATTAGTTGAATTTGAATCGAATCAAATATTTAAATATTTAGTCGAATTCAAATTTAAATATTAATTTTCAATATCCGTCAGATATCGAATTGAATTCGAATATCAAATTTTTTAATCGGAATCGAATTCGGATATTACTTGATTCGATTCGAATTCGATCCGTTTATACCCCTATCTATCGGTATCGGTCTCTGTGTATTTGTTTCCTTATAATCAATCGGTGGGCATGGAAGCAGACCGGATTTTTTCTGATAATATGATGAAATTTTAGCAGAGAGTCGATCAATAATAAAGAGGATTCTAAGTTTCATCCAGAAATTGAAGCGTCATCTTCATCTTTTCTTTCAACTTGTACTTTATTTCTTTTGCTCCTATTCCAAGCTCCCTTTGAGTGTTAAAACATCAACAAAAGTCCCATTCTCCTTATTTTTGACGTTCTCTATTTCTGATCATTCTAATTTTTTGTTGTTGGATTATCTATAAGTTTCAATCCATTTTTTATATGGTTTGTATATCGAGCAATTGCTGGTGATGGTAAATTGGCTAGAGCGATCGCCGGTGCCAGAGATGGTATTGGATCCAAGTTTGGGCTAGAATGGGGTCAAAGACTCTGATTTGAGGCTGAGGGGCAGGAATATGGGAGAAACTCAGTTTTTGCCTTTTTTTTGGATTGTTTTGGGGTTAATGGGACGAGCTAACGGCCATCTCGTTAGCCTCGCACATGGGAACTCCTCATCGCGTGCGACTGGACATGTGGTAGTCGCACGTTGTGTGGGGTGATTGTGGGGTGAGAGGTGGTGGGGCAGAGATGTGAACTCGTACTTCTACTTTTACACCACATTCAAATGCAGTCTTAATGTACTGCTTGGTTTGCAGGAATAGGAGTCTGAATCAGAACTGGGATGAACAATTCCAATTCCAACTGATTGGTTGGGTAGAATTGGAATCGAGGTTCTAAATATCGATATGCCCGATACGCCGGTATGGGCATATCAGGCAGTACCGATACTGTTTTTTATACTTTTTTTTTCAAAACCGGTTTAAGGCTCCTCCACCCCCTGAACCGTTCAGAACCCCGATACACCTTCTGTATGGGCATATCGGGGTGCTCCCGGTATGGGCCAATATATATTGATTTTTTGAACCTTGATTGGAATCTCATTCCCATTCTTGGTGGAACGGAATTTCCTCTTTTGAGGGAATGGCCATTTCCTAGCCTCCCCCTCATTTGGGAATGAAATCTCATTTCCAAATCTCATTCCAATTCCCATATGAACCAAATAAATTATGGGAATAGACCAACGGATTTCGGTTCTATTGTAAACCAAAGGGAGCATGTGTGAGCTCTTCATTAATGGGTATCCGCTTTATTCCTTAATGTTTTTTTGTTATAATTTACAACGTGCATAAGCCTTCATTGAACCGTTGACAGAATCAACAACCTGGTGGTCTAGCCAAACAAACTGTTATTGGACCATTTGACAAGGTCTATGGGTTATTTGGTTCTTATATTAAACTTTTTTCAAGCATAAAATATCATTTATTTTTAAGTAACTTCATGCAAATCTTATGAACCTAATCCAATGTTCTAAATCTAATATACATCTCACTCCTTTATTTTTTCTGTATTTTAGATATGTTTATCCTTAATAAAGATAATTGTTATTTTTTGCACTTATTTTTGTTTGATGTAGATATGCTTAATTATTTTTTCTGCAGTTATCCATAATTTTTCTGAACTTTATCTATTTTATATTTTTAATATTTTTATTCATAAATTATGATGTTATAGGTTGATCCATTTGACCTAAATGGTTAAATTGTTTTTACCATCCAGAGGGAAAAACAAATTTATCTTTAGGGATTTCAATTTTCCCTGGCTGTAAAATCGAGGCCCCACCCTACCCTACCCTGAATGGGGTGGGTTTTCCCCGATCTTAAATGAGGACAGGGTGGGGATGGATGGATGGGGAAATATTTTTGCCTCGAATCAGAGATGGGGTTTCATATAATTCCCCAAACCCGATAGTAAATTAGTAAAATATTCTTAGATTTAATATCGGTTTTTAAAATACCTTTAAGTTTCTCCCAAATTCTTAAAATTCTAAGATCCCATAGTTCCATTCCTAAAGTACCCCCAAATTGCCATAATTCAATTTCTAAAATACCCCCAAATTCCCATTACCCTATTTGTAAAATATTCACATATTAGATTATTTTTAGGTGATTGCCTTGGGGTAGAGAAAACGGGGAATAGGTGCCTCACCTTGCCACCGGGGACAAGGTGATTACCTTGGTGTAAAAGTGCTTTTATAAAAGTACTTTCGTAAAAGTACTTAAAAAAAGTGCTTTCATAAAAAGTACTTTCTTAAAAGTGTTATTATAAAAGTGCTTTCATAAAAGTGCATTCATAAAAGTATTTTATAAAAGTGCTTTAATAAAAATTCTTTTATTAAAGTGCTTTCATAAAAATACTTTCATAAAAGTGCTTTCTAAAAAATACTTTTGTCAAAGTTTTTTTTCATAAAATTTGAAAAAAAAATGAAAGAAAAATAGTCATAAATGCTTATTGGATATGAAATAAGTGGTTATATTTTACCGAGGTAGCGGGTCAAATGAAGGATATAAACGACATTAAGAAAAAGACTTGGTCCGTTTCAAGTTTCTTACGGTACACTGACGGTGAATCCTTGTTGCAGAAATTTCAGGGGAGGTCATGTGGAGTTGTCTGAAAAACGAAGGAGCTAACTGTTATTTACAGTTGCCTCTCCAAGAAACGAAGACACTTCTCCTTCGCAGTTCGCACTCGCACAGGAAGGAGAGAGAGTGAGAGAGAGGATGCGGCGAGTCTGAGCCATCTGTCGATCCTCATATGAGCTCAATTTACGAAGACAACAATGAAGCAGCTGCGAGGAGTAGGCTCAGTGTAATGGAGTACATGCATTTACTATCTTTCTACCTCTATTTCTTCTCTCAATAGGAGGAGGAATACGAGGGTACAAGAGGGGACATTTCTCCTTCTGAATTGCAGCATGGAGAAGAGGATCAGAACCTCCCAACTTTACTCTCTACTGATTTTCAGCTTCTGTTTCACCAGTCTCGTTAGGGCACAAAGCAGTGAGTCGTTCTTCACCCCCCCCCCTTCCCCCAACACATACACACACAAACAATGTTTCCAAGTTCCAAAATCTGAGAGATTAGAACTTAGATGAGATTGTACTGCAAAAGGCTCAGAATTTATATGTGAGGGTAAAGGGAAAAAGGTCTAAGGATGTTTTGATGGCTATGATTCTCTACATAAGTAATGTGTGTATGTGTTTTTTCGTGTGCTTTTAATGGTATTTTCAGTATGATCAAGGCATTTTTTTTTTCGGGTGTGATGTTCCTTTAATTATAGTCCTGAGAAACTTCAATAATTGATATCTTGGACCTATAACAGGGTAACTACTCCTAGCAATTGGTTGTTTACCCAGAGCATCAGGGGATCCTTGACTGTTATTTTGTATCTTAGATAGGAAGCTGACAAAGAAAACAGTCCGTCTGTTTGCTCCTGTATGCTATGTTACCTTGTCAATAAGACAGTTTCTTCATCTAAGTTGTATAAGAGGCAAAGAGCAGAATGCGTATCTACTGCCGTGGATGTAATGCTAAACATACATATAACATATCTGAGTATAATGTATGGAAATACATTAATGTGAAGAATTATACCTGCCATTTAGAAGAATCCAGACGGAATACTACATTTGGTCTTCATGTCTGAACAAGCTTCGGTGTTCTCTTTTTTGCCGGGTGTACCACGTGCTTTTTGATGCAAGAGAAGGGACCTAAGCTGAGTTTATATAGGCATCCTTCCATCAAAGACTTATGTGAAACTAAGTCTAAAAAACCACTTTCTTTAACTGAAGTGAAACTGCACTTAGTTGAAGTGAATCCACTTCACTTAATAAAAATAATTTGACTGAATTTGAAACTGAGTTTAATTAAAAAGATACAGAACCCCCATTTTAGATTATAAATTCTAACATGTAAGACAGAGTATGTAACCATAAAGAGCCCAAGACATCCATGTTGTTTAATGGTATATACATTGCAGGATTTGCATGAATACAGTGATTAAGTGCAAAATTAGATTTTTGTAGAGATACTTTAGAATCAAGTGATGTTAGGTAAGATTAAAATAGAATATATGCAGTGTAAATTTATTGACAACTGGAGTGAGAACCAACATCATGTAATGGACCTTTTTTTGGGAATGAGAACGAGGATACAATTAGAATTACAAACCATGAGATACTCCATTGTGATATCTTTTGTTACTTTGGTTGAATAATTCATAAAAAAAGAGGGAGATTTAGGAGGATGTAGCCCATATGAATAGAGTGATATGGGTGAAATGAAGGGGATTTATTTGGACTGCTTCATAATTAGAGACTAAGAGATGATTCAATGTGACATTTTTTGTTACATTGGTTTGTTAATTCATAACAAGGGAGAGATTGAGGAGGATGTCTCCCATAGAATTAGAGCAGGATGGGCAAAATGGATAGGTAAATACCACTCAGGTTAAAAGGAAATTTTATAACACAGTTGTAAGACCAACAATGTTGTATGGAGCAAAGTGTTGGGTATTAAGAAACAACATGTCCAAAAAATGAGTGTAGTAGAAATGTGTATGCTGAGATGGATGAGCAAAACAACTAGAAAGGATAGGTTCGGAAATGAAGTCATTCAAGTAGTTCCAATGGATGATGGAATGAGATAAAGTAGACTAGGTTGGTTTGGCCATGTGCATAGAGCACTTGTAAGAAGAAGCAGTCTATTGCGAGTTGAAGGGGCTGGCCAAAAAGGACGTGGTTGAAGTAGTAACAAATGATTTAAGCAAGGGTCGAATTTTCACAATGTATTGACTGGTCACCAATATGCTGTTTAAGTTTTTTTTTTTAAGCTGTTGATTTTAAATGTTAAATAACAATATTCCCAACCTTTGAAGCTTTGGAAAAAAACTAAAAAATAAAAAAAAAATAAATAAAAAACACAAGGTTCAAAGTATCGATGTACCATCTAAGCATTCATAATTTAACAATAGATGTGGCAGTTTGGCACTAAACAGAATGGAATGGCAAAACAGGATTGCCAACCCCATAAAGTTGGGATAAAGCTTATGTGATGATGAAAGTATGAAAACCAAGCAATACTGTATTTGTGTGGAGCATAAAGTAAATGTTGAGATGGATGAATGGTTAAACATTAAAAGATTGGCTTTGAAATGTCTATATTCATGGGAGTCTTGGAGAAGTGCTCCCCCTCCAAGGGTGATAAAAGGAATGATAATGCACTATGATGGTTTAGCCATGTGCATAGAAGATCATCTATGCACTAGTAAGATGATCTGTTGAAAATTGAAAGGTTTAGAAGAGCTAGGGACAGGATGAAAAGGATATGAATTGAATTACTGAGAAATAATTATTTTGGGCTGCACTGTGATGAGGGATAGAAAAGTGTTCTTAAATGGGATCAACATTCCCACCACCAAGTTGTATAAACTGTTTCCAATCTGAATTTTAAATAAAATACTTGTTTACTGATAAGAAAAACTGAGAAATAATCTAACAATGGATATGACACTGAATAGAGTGGAATAGTGGAAAAGGATTTGTGTAGCCAATCCCATATACTTGGGAAACGGTTTTCTTGACTTGAGCGTTTAGGTTCTTTGTGAGAAAGCTTTTTTCCTTTTAATAAGGATAATGATCACACAGTTGATGACACCTAATCAAGACATTTACTATATGTAAATCATAGATATAATTACTTGAAGCAGGTCAATGTTCTTATTAGTTTGATTAGTTTCAGATGTTAAATTCTTAAAAGATTTTAAATGTAGTAATGCATTTTATTTTTTCTGCTTCTTGATCACAGAAATAGCCTTTTGAGTTAGTATTTTCCTGAAATGTTGCATTTGTTTGATAGCAGCACTTTGCCCTACTAGTTGGGAGATCAGCTCAAATAAGTCACTTTGCCCTGATGATTGGGTAATCAGTCCAAATAAGAGCAAGTGTTTTGGGCTGATAGAAAACTCCAGTTATTGGGATGAATCAGAGTCTCGATGTAGGGATTATAATGGGCACTTGGCAGCACTGACATCAGCCAAGGAACTAAATTTTGCTGGAAAACTCTGCAGTAATACAGCAAAAGGCTGCTGGGTTGGAGGAAGAGGCTTCAGTTCTACAGGTGGTTTTAGTTGGAAGTGGTCTGACAATGCAACACATTGGAATGAGTCCATCTTCCCTGGGGCACCATTTCGCTCCAATTGCTCCAATTCATCATGTGAAGGCATTAATCTGATCAATACCTGTACWTTGGTGACTAATGGCCAGCCAACCCTTGTGGGTGAGAGATGCAACAACTCTCATGAGTTCATCTGTATGCTTGATATAGGTATTCAATTACCTTATAATTATTTTACCATCTTTTTCTTCTTTTGTGTTCTTTTCTTAATTCCTCTTTGAGATAAGAACAGTTTTAACAAAAGGAGTCAAGCTGGTGGCTTTTCTTGTTTCTTATTTCTTTGCCTCCATGGAGCTTGTTATATATCTAATGGTTGGTTACCCAGAGTAAAACTCTTGTATCCTCATTAAAAAGGTTTCATCTTTGACAGAGAACAAATGCTACCACCTGCGCCGCCACAAGGAGTATCTTATCATCCTTGCAACTGTTAGTGGGCTGATCCTTTGCACAACTTTGGCTATTGTAATTTGGTTGCTTGCATACAGGAGGAGCAAGAGGCGCAGAAGGTCTCGCAAAGCATCTAATCCATCTACATCTGCATCAGTTACCCCATCATGGAAAGTCTTCAGCAATGAGGAACTGAGGTCAATTACAAAGAATTTCAGTGAGGGTAACCGTCTTGTTGGAGATGCCAAGACTGGTGGCACATATAGTGGGCTTTTACCTGATGGAACAAGGATAGCAGTCAAGAGATTGAAAAGGTCTAGCTTTCAAAGAAAGAAGGAATTTTATTCAGAGATTGGAAGAGTTGCAAAGCTCCATCATCCTAATCTGGTGGCGGTGAAAGGATGTTGCTATGATCATGGTGACCGTTATATTGTTTATGAGTTTGTTGCTAATGGGCCCCTAGATAGATGGCTACACCACATACCTAGGGGTGGGAGAAGCTTGGATTGGGCAATGAGAATGAGAATCGCCATAACTCTTGCACAGGGAATTGCGTAAGTATTGAATTCTATACCTCTACTGCAGCCTAAGTGAAACGTGCACCTGAAACTGCATTAGTTTCAGTTTCTTCCAATTTTGTACTACAGTTATGTTTTTTCTGCAAAAACTGCATATCTTTTTCTGCTAGTTTTTCAACCTGCAATGCCTAGGTACCTGTACATGTCCAGACACAATATGCACTTGATACACTGGTACTGGATTACAACTTCTAGAGTGTACTTTATAACAATAACACTTTTAGAATATCTAAACTGATATGGTTTATCAAATCATACCATAAAAAATCAATGTGTTAGAAGTTTAGCTAAAAAGTATTGAGAAATGACATTATGGCTTTAAAAACTAGATATTGAATCCATGTCAATAGGAGATACTAATATCTGAATCCATGTCTGGATATTAGGAAATGGAAGTTGCTTACCTATTTCCTACATTTGTATCTGTGTTAATATTCACATCTGGCCATCATAGCTTTCAACAAGGCATAATGGTATCATAACCTGCTTTTATTGTTTTCTTTTCATCTTTTTGTTTTGCTGAACTAGTTTTATTACTCCCTTGTTATCTTTTGTTTTCTTTTTTTTTTTTGAACCCTATTACTCCCTTGTTATCATACTTATATGTATGGATACACTTATATTAAAATTTCAATGAGATTATCTAGGTTTTATTTTCTACCTTACTATTTGTTTTCTTCTTTGTACAAAGATCTCAGGAAGGACTTTTTTTTATTTATCTGCATCCAAGTTGCCTCTCTTTTTTCTTAATCCCCTTGATGTACAGTCATCTGCTTTTAACTAGAGTTAAACATTATGGTACCATATTAAAATGGAATAGGCAAATGCCAATGGAGGAACCAGATGAGAAATATGTTCTCTGAATTCTCCTTGCTTGTTCTAGTAGTTGATGTGCTGTTGATTCCCCCCCCCCCCCCCCGTTTGAGGTGCCAGTTAAGTCCTCCACGTGTCCTTGCAAGGTTTTCTGCATGGACAACCACCTTTTAGACTTGGTTCTTTATCTCTGATACCCCTGGTTGTACAACACAATCTGCAGCATAAAAACATAGAAGCAGGAATAAATAATGATGCATAATAGAACATAATAATAAATAATAAAGATTGAAGATTGTAACCCATCTAACAGAGAGGACTTGTAAGTTGATGCACGCCCAGAAGTTGACTTGTCTGACTTTTCAAAACACGTGTCAGGCATAGCAACACCAGGGATCCAACCATTTAACAAAGTTTGTTTAGGTAAAAGAACTAACTAATTTAGTTTTAATTTTAAGAAATGTAGGTTTGATATAGGAGAGAGAGAGCATGCGCATAAAAGCCATATATAATTTGGTTTCTTGTTGGGGGTGTCCATGCATTCAATGCTTCTAGGTATGATTCTTGTAAGTTATCCTCTTTCTATACTTTCTCTTTCCTCTTTTCGTTTTTTTTTTTTTTGATCAATAACACTTTCATTAATTCATCAATAGAAGATTTACAAAAAGAAGACAAACACGCTTATCTTCCAAGAGCAACAAAGAACCTCAAGAAAAGGAAAAAAGAAAGAGAAAGAAAGAAAACACACTAAATTACAGCTTGGCCCAAAAAAGTGAATCCCTTTCTGCCCCTTGTTTAGCTAAACCGTCAGCTAGGGAATTAGCCGATCTTTTAACCCAACGTATCTTAACTTCCATCTCCTGCACCAGCCACTTGAATTTCCTCTTTTCATTATTGTACTTCCATAAGCCATTGTGATATTTAAGTAGCCACCCTATCACCACCTCTGAATCCCCTTCAATTAAGAGTTTCCTGATGTTCAACTCCTGAGTTTTTTGGACTCTTTCCATAACTGCAAAGATCTCAGCTCTAAGGGAGTCACCCACTCCAATTGGGCCTGAGAACATGGCAGAAATGACCCCATTTTCATCCCTAAAAACACCCCCAATCCCCGATTGTCCCGGATTTCCCCTGCTACACCCATCAAAGTTTAGTTTCACGAATYCACTAGGTGGAGGGGTCCAAGCCACACTCATTAYTGACTTAGTTTGTGTGCAACTTGCAATTTCACCCCACTTCCTCAACATGTCATCCACAATGTAATCTGTGAAAAGCTCCAAAGATTTCAGCCACTGTACCRYCCTAATATGAATGATAGCCCTCAGATCTGCTGCTCCTCTCTGAGTTTCTGAGAATATCCTAAAGTTTCTTTCTTCCCAAAGTGTCCAACATTCTACAACCCTTAGTCCTCTCCACATTGTCCTTCCCCTTTTTATTCGCCACCGGAAAAAAGAAGGGGAAAAAAGGCTTTGCAAGTCTGATGGGAGGTTCCAACAACAACCAAATAGGGACAAAGCCCATTCCCAAATTGAC